GCACAAGCCTCCTATATTATGCTGGCTGAAATGCTCTCCATAAAAATGATGTAAACATTTTTTTTAGTAGTAGCACCAGTCTTTCCTTGTGATTTTGTAAAGTTTTATTGAGAGTATGATGGACTTTTCCTTGTAATTTGTAAAGTTTGATTCATTTATCCTCTGGTTAAAACATCTGAGCTGAACAGAACGACTGTCAGTTCTAGCCCCGTGCTGGTGTGAGCTACCAGCCTTGTCCCCAGCTTGCCGTCCACCCAGCGGTTCGAATGCTTCGGCGAGTAGATAAAATGGGTACCACTCCTTAGAGAGGGTAGCCGGCGAACGGAAGGTCCAGTGCATAAAAGATCGAAAGCCTAGAAAGAACTCTTCGGCATCAAGAAAGTCTGTAATGGGCCATCCTGCCAGGTGGTGGCAGTGCTGCGCTGCAACTGAAGCAGTCCTGGAGAAAAGCTGACGACATCAAGCCACGCCGAGGGAAAAATGCCGTTGGAACATGTCTGACCTTACTGCTGAACAAACTCCCCGCCGGCAGGGAACGTGTGTGATTTAAAGATTTATATGTTGTCCTCCCTTACCCCTTTGAATCATTGTTAGTCCCGTGTGTATTTGAGTAACTGTAAATCGCTCAGAGCCAGCAGCTCTGCAGGATCGAGCGATTAATAAATTGAAAGATTATTATTATTATAAATGTTCTAGTCACTCATGTCACAGTGTATTTTCCTCCTGGATACCTGTGACCCCCTCTTGGTTTTTTTCAACCTCTGGGTGAGGCCTGGAGACCTCACGGAATTATAACTGATCTCCAGATTGCAGAGTTCAGTCCCCTTGAACGTCAGCTTTGGAGGGTAGAATCTATGGCCTTATACCCCACTGAAGTTCCTTCCCAAACCCCGCCCACCCCAGGCTCCACCCCCAAACCACCAGGAGTGTCCAAATTTGGAGTTGGTAATCCCAGGAGCAGATGAGGGCTCTGTTACACACTTCATAGCTTGCTGGTTGAGGCATCACTCTTTTTTCCTGCTTTCTTAACAACAACAAAAATAATAATCTTAATTTAATCCTTTGGTCCCCTGTGGGGATGGCAAAGTGGTTTAGCTCATCTCCCTCTCTTCCTTTTTATCCTCGTCTAGAAGGCAGGTTAGGTCAAGAGCGTGAGAATGGCCCGAGGTTGTTAAAAATATCTGTTTTATGAGCAGACCTTCCCTCCTGGAGGCAGGAGAATTAACAAATTGAACAGAACCAGTCGAGGCTGCAAAATCTACGTTGATTCCAGCAGCCGGGAGGTTCACAGGGAGCAGGAAACTAATCGGCTGAGCTAGGGTTGCCAACTCCGGCTATGGAAATGCCTGGAGGTTTTGGAGGCGGAGCCTGAGGAAGGCGGGGCTTGGGGAGGGGAGGGGAGGGACTTCCACGGGGTCTTATGCCATAGAGCCCACCTTCCGAGGCGGCCATTTTCTCCAGGGGAACTGATCTCTGTCGCCTGGAGAAAGGCTCCCTCTGAGCTGTGGAGTCTTGTGAGCAAAGATTCTACCTGGTGAGCTCCTGGCATTAAGGTTGTGAGCGAGCGATTGGGCTCCTGCATCAGCGAGTTTGCTCTGGAGCCCTCCTTCCCGAGCGGAGACAAAAATGTGTGAGCCGGAGGCTAAAGAACTGTGAGCTAGCTCATACGAACTCAGCTTAGAGGGGACACTGGATTCCGGAAGATCCAGCCACCACTGGGGAGTTTGGGAACCCTGCCCTAAACTCCAGCTTCCCTTCCACTTTATAAAATGAATCCCACTGAATTATTATATCTATAAAGGAGGGTTGGCAATTGTCACACCAGCTCCTGCAGCTGTGCGCCTTTAAACACAGCTGGGATGCGCAGACCCTCTGGATGTTCTCCTTCACCGGCTGTTCTCCGCACCGGAGTCTGCTAGTCAAGGTATAAGAGTGGCTCAGGGCAGGATTGGGCCCCACTCCCCCCCCTCTTCAACTGGCACACCTGTTCTGAAGCCCGTTTAAAGCCAGTAGCTCTGGTTTAAATGGTTTCAGCCTGGCCCTCCTTTTCCAGTAAGATGAGACAGCAGAGTAGATTTTAACATGAGCCCGGGAGGAGACATGATCTGAATGCCCTGCCTCAGGGTATGTTGTAGGGCTGTCTTTCGGCTCTGCTCCTGCAGAGTGCAGGGGGTTGGACTAGATGACCTGCAAGGGCCCTTCAAACTCTAACATCCTAGGATTCTATGATTCCAAAATGTCCAGCATCCTCTCCTCTCTCGACAAGACTGCTTACTTGCATTTATATCCCACTTTTCTAGGAGCTGCGGTGGCTCAAGTGGTTAAGACGCTGAACTGCAGGCTGTGGAAGGTCGGTAGTTCAGCAGTTCGAGACCCGAGTGTGCCGCATGACGGAGTGAGCTCCCATCTCTAGTTCCAGCTCCTGCCAACCTAGCAGTTTGAAAGCAAGAAACAGCAAGTAGATAAATAGGTACCCCTTCGGTGGGAAGGTAACAGCATTCCGTGTGCCTTGGTGTTTAGTCATGCCGGCCACATGACCACGGAAATGTCTTCGGACAGTGCTGGCTCTTCGGCTTTGAAATGGAGATGAGCACCGCAACCCTAGAGTCGGATTCGACTGGCTTTCGAGCAAAGGAACCTTTACCTTTACCTTTTTTCTCTCCCCACACTTGGGACTCAAAGTGGTTTAGAACATCCTTCCACCCTCCTCCATCTTCTCACAACAACCCTGTGAGGGAGGCCAGGCTGAGAGTTTGTAACGGGGCCAAGGTCACCCAGCGAGCTTCCGTGGTAGAACTGGGGATTCGAACCCAAGTCAGCCAGGGTCCTAGTCTTCCTCTCTATCCACTGGACCACACTGGCTTTCTTATGGAGCGAAATGTGTAGCAGAATACGAACAAGGAACCTGTTCAAGTATTAAATCAGTGTACAAAATCCACCACCACCCCTATATTTCGCCATACTTCTTCTAGCCAAGATGGCAATCTTCCCCTTGAAGCATTTCCACCCGCCTCTGTCACTACGACCTCCCGGGCTGTCTGTCTGTCCTTCCCGTCAACCATTAAACTGTTCACTGAACATGGTGACATCAGAGAAGCTCAGCCAATGGCAGAAGGACTAGTATGTTCCGTACTAACTAGCAGCCCTCTTTTAATAGGGCACTTCTCTATTAAAATGTTTCCTTCGATCCTAAAAGTTCATTTTTTTCTTCTGATTTTAAACGAAATAAAAACATTTTTGTGGGCCCCTAAAAGTATCGTGGGCCCTAGGGTCTGTGCCAGTTTGGTGTAGTAGTTAAGCAGCTGCTGGTGTGACTTTGGGTCAGTCACTTGTTCTCTCAGAGCTGTTCTCTCAAGGGCAGTCCTCAGAAGAGCTCTCTCAGCCCCGCCTACCTCATAGGGTGTCTGTTGTGGGGAGGGGAAGGGAAAGGAGATTGTAAGGTGCTCTGAGACTCCGAGTGAAGGGCAAGGGGCATGAATCCAATCTCTTGTCTCTTGTTCTACTGTGCCTAATGGATAAGTCGGCCCTGGTAAGATGCAGTTCCCATTGTGTCCATAGGCTGGACAGCGTGGAATGGCTGTCAAGGAGCATAATCCTCACTGAGGACTAGTTCTGTGTTTTTGACATGTTAAAATTTGCGAAGGATCTTGGAGTTAAATCCACAGTGATGGCCAAGTCTATATTGTTTTCCGCACATTTCCGCCGCCGCCGCTGCCACCATTATTATTGCCTTTTGCTGCTCCTCCCAGTTGTTTGCCAGATGATTCTGAAAAGGCTGAAGAAAAGGACAGACTTGGCAAACTTGTGTAGTTTTTAGTTATTTTAGTTGTTTAGCCGTTGGAACAGGTGCCCTCTAGTGGCTCTTGGGCAAATTGCGGGAAGGAACAAGTGGGAAACGAACACAAAGGGCAAAAATAGGGACGGCCAACTGCACTGGGTTGGGGAATTCCTGGACTTTCGGGGATGGAGCCTGGGGAGGGGGAGTTTAGGGGGAGGGGAGGGACCTCAGTGAAGGATGCTACACAGTCCACCCTCCAAAGCGGTAATTTTCTCCAGGGCAACTGACCTCTGTAGTCTGGGGATAAGTTGTAAATTCCAGGAAATCTCCAGGCCCCGTCTGGAGACTGGCAACCCTACACAGTAGAAAGGCACGGGGCAACGACTGCCACCCCTGGTGTGCCACTGCTGCGGCTAAGGAAATCCTAGTCCTGCTCAGTTCTGGGATACTTCAGGGGCAAGTGGATAAGCATTATGTTTTAGGAGCCTACCTCGCAAGATTATTGTGCAGATAATACGGAGCTGAGGAGAACAACATAGGCTGCTTTGGGTGCCCATTGGGGGGAATGGCGGTGTAGAAATGAAGTGAATAAGCCAAAAAAAGCTGGCCTGGGAGCAGTGTTCCCTCTAAGCCGAGTTAGTGTGAGCTAGCTCACAGTTTTTTAGCCTCCGGCTCACGCATTTTTGTCTCAGCTCAGAGAAAGATGGGGCTCCAGAGCAAACATTGATGCGACAGCCAAATCGCTCGCTCACCACTTGATTTCCAGTCACTCACAAAGTATAATTTTTGCTCACGAGACTCCATGGCTTAGAGGGAGTGTTGCCTGGGAGTGCCCATCGGGGCCATGGGACCAGAGGAGGGGAGTCTCAGTAGGGTTGACAACCTCCAGGCGGGGCCTGGGGACTTCCCAGAATTACTGCTGACCTCCAGATGACCTCCAGAGTTCAAGCCCCCCCCGGAGAAAATGGCTGCTTTGGAGGGTGGGCTCGATGACCTTAAACTCCTCCTTAAAAGTCCCTCCCCTCCCCAACCCCCACCCTCTCCAGACTCCACCCCCAAATCTCTAGGAGTTTCCCAACCCAGAGCTAGCGTATTCCTCTTGCCCTTTTCTCTCGATCGGAAGCCTACAGCCCTGCTGCTTGGCGGATGGGGGGGTGGGGGGAAACATGCACGTACCGCAGGGGGTATTCCTAAACAGCCGCCTGTAAATGTGTCCCTGCAGTTGCCGCCGATCCGGTACGCATCGACCCCCAAGGCCACCCAGAACGGAACGACTGGTGCGACAACCACAACACAATTCACAGGCGTTTAGAGAACATCCAAGAGGTAAGGGATCCCGTACCTACCGGCAAGACTCCGTGCAGACCACGGCTTCTCTGGGCACTCCTTATCTGCTGTGACAGGGGATCTGGCTTGTGTTATCAGTATCGGGATAATTGGTTAATAGAGAAGGGTGATACTGAGTGCAGTAAATGAATCCCCCAAGAGGTATACTGCAAAAAAGGTAAACTGACATTGATTCAAATAGATCCAGTTCACATTCAGGTTGCAGTCAGGGGTCCTTCAGTAGAAAAAGAGGTGCAGGAGCTCATTAGCATAACTTATTAGCATAACTTTTTTGCATATGCCACACCCCCTGCTTGACTTTAAATATCCCTTGATGCTGCAGCACAGCTTTTCATGCCTTCCTCCTTTGGTTGGGGTCATTGAGAGCTTAGGTTCCAATCCTACAACAAACACACAAAGAATTCATGTTGCCCTTTAAGTTATGATCATCAGGGGTCATTTCGTAGAAAAAGAGGCGCAGGAGCTCATTAGCATAACTTATTTGCATATGCCACACCCCCTGACATCACTGGAAGTGTGTCAGAAGGCAACACCCACCGCTCAGGCTCCACTGGACTGTTTTGGATTGCTAGCTATTGGGGG